CTGCCTCTCAGCCCCTCACAACCACACCTGGCACAGGTACACACGCTGCCACTCACAAGAGCACGCTTCCACTGCCAGCCTTACCGTCACACTGCCGTACAGCCATTCAGACATTGCTGCACCTGAGAGCAGGTGGCCGCCGGACCCTAGTCCTTCATTCTCCACACCTGGGGATCAGGTCTAGCTCCTGCTGCACCGGACAGGCCTTGCTGGGCTAGTGCCTCTGAGAACCCGAGGAGGTGTCTTCCAGAGCTGCAGCTTTCCAAGCAGGCTCCGGTGGAGCGATCAGAGGTGAGGGGCTGGGCTGGGCATGTTTAAGCGCACAGTGCTCTCCTGCCCATCCCCAGCAGCACCCCCACTACAGGCCCGAGGAGCTTTCCGGAGCTTCCCACACTTCTGGGGAGAAGACTTCTTAGCCAGCTTGATGTTTAAAATTCAGCTGGAGCCCTTAAAACTTCGAGCGTGGACGCTGAATGGGTTTGTAAAGTTCCGGTAAGTCCCTCTGGAGAAGGGCACTCATATCCCTACCACATCAAATTCTCCACATCTCATCCCCCTTCATTGCCCACCATCATCCTCACCCCATCTGCATTACATGTAAGACCCTCCTACCTCACCCTTACATTTGAATGAATGGTACCCCTTATCATTCATCTCCTATACCAAACCCTTCAGGCATCCATCCATTTTCCACAAATATCTCTTCCAATATTTCAACTCTCTTCATCTCTCTCTTTCAACCCATTGGTAACCCATTTTCCACCTCAGCCATTTCTATTTGTCATCCCTTGTCCCCTTCCACCAATACTTCATTTTCTGTATCAACCATCTCCCCTCCCTATATACTCCCTCTTGCTATTTCTCATTTTTCATTCCTGCCTCAACATTAACATCCTCTTCATTCTTCTCCATCAAAGGCAGTGCCATGCCATGGGGCTCCTTTGTCATTCCAACACGTGGCTTGTGGGTACGGGGAGGGAGGGAAAGAGGGAGGAAAGGAGAAGGAAAAAGGCAGTCCCCAAAAGAGCTTGCCCTGTGTCTGTGGAGGCAAGAGAATTATAGGTCCAGAACCGTTATCAGGTGAGTGCCAGGAAGGAAGTTGGCCTCATGAAGAGGTAATACAGGGACAGCAAGAGGAGGGTGAGAGCATTGGCAAGCCGCTCCACTTGCCCTCTGCCTAGAAGCTGCTATGGTTTTCTGGGGGCGTCCTCTTGGTGTACTAGGGTTCCTTCCCAGTCCTAGGGTGGGCAGAGAAGGCATGGGCTGAGGCAGAGATGGCAGACCACCCCCAGTTCCCTCTCAGACGGCTTTTACCGTTGCTTCCGAAAATGGCTGCCCACCCCCAGATGCTCTTCTCTCACTCTTCCAACCCCAGCTTCCCCCACCAGGCGTGACATGCTGGTAGGGGGAGAAGGGGGAGTACCCGCCTTTATGGAGCCTTCTCTTCGTCACAGTGAGGTGACTCCCAGAGCCATGAGTCAACTCAGCCACCTGCAACAGGCCCTGTGGGGGCAGGAGCTAGGGCCATTGTCCCTGCCTTCCTGGGGCCTTAAGTACAGCCCTCACTCCTGCCAGGAAGCCCTGTATACCTCACTGAAGCTGTGAGAGGCAGAAAAGCAGACTTCAGCTGTGGTTGCCAGCCCAGGACATTGCTAGAAAGACTCTGGTTTTCTGGGCTTGGTAGGGGTTGGCCAAGCCTCTGAAGGGCTAGAGAATGGCTTCTGGCCATCTCCCCAAATAGCCCAACTACAGGAAAGTCCCCTTCCCTTCATATCCACCACAGAGACAGTGGTGAAGGGAGATTAGAGTGAAAGAATTAGAGCCCTGTGTTTCTCCCTAAAAAAAAAAAAAAAGCCCTGGTGTCTGGCTTAGAAGGGACTATCAGAGGAGTATGGACCTGGCCCTGGGTCAGATCCTGAACCACAGGGCAGGTGAGGAGGGACTGGTAGGGAAGGTATTAAGGAAATGGTGATTAGTGCCTAAGTGTTCTAACAACTAAGGTTTAAAAAGTCCCTACCCCCAGGATGGTTTTGTTCACTAACACTAGTGCTTAGGTGGCACAGACATGTCTTCATACACATTTTGTGTGCAGACACTGGGAAATGAGTAAAGGGAACTGTTGCCCTTGTTGGAGGAAGGACAGTGTCATCCCCCCCTGCTAATAAGAGAGCTAGAAACGGCAGTTTCCAAAGGCTGTGAGTCATTCTCTCATCTGTCACACATGAGGCTTAGCATAGTCTGGAAAGCAGGGACAGGGAGGCCTGGGGTCTTCAATAGCAGAGAGGACTCCAGGCACCTACACCCTGACTCAGCCTAGCTGGCCAGGACAACTGGCTAAAGACCTAGGACTGTCCCTAGTCCTGGGCCACTGCCCCAGCTGCCCTTAGCCTGGGCACCATGCCTGAGACATGGTGTAAAAGACCACGATGCTCAGGTGACCTCACCCAGTACACTGATCTTCGCCAGCTTCTGTGTGTGGGCCTGTCAGTCCATGGTGCCACCTCACACGGCAGGGCCTCTCAGGGGTCCTCAGTCTAGCCCAAGGACCTGGGCTTTAGCTGAGCCCCTAATAGGCCACAGCCCCCAGCTTCCTGCTGGGAAAATCTAGGAGCTGAGGAAAGAATCACAGAATCCTAGAATGTCAGAGCTGAAAGAGACCATCTAGTCCAAACCTTTCATTTTACTGATGGGGAGACAGGGGCCTACAGAACAGGCATGACCTGCTGAAAGTCACACAGTGAGTCACTTAGGGATTGCAGGATCGTCAGGAGCAGGGCTGGGTCAAAAGGGAATAGGAGCTTCAAGGACTGGCCCTGGGTTTCTTTCAGAAACAAGGAGACAAGTGCCGGTCCAGTGGCTGTGATGGGAAAGGATTATTACAAGATTCTTGGGATCCCATCGGGAGCCAACGAGGATGAGATCAAGAAAGCCTACCGGAAGATGGCCTTGAAGTACCACCCAGACAAGAACAAAGAACCCAATGCTGAGGAGAAGTTTAAGGAGATTGCAGAGGCCTACGACGTGCTGAGTGACCCTAAGAAACGAGGCCTGTATGACCAGTATGGGGAGGAAGGTAAGAGAGCAGTCCTCCAGGCTGACGCTGGCCCCCTGTCCTTGTGTGGGGTGCTGTGTGACCCAGTTCTTGTAGCAGGGAACTGGAGGCTGAGGAGGGGTGATGGAGGCAAGTGTTCTCCGCACCGACACCCAGAAGAGAGTAGAGACCACCACTCCCCAGCCTTGGCTTACATAGTTCTCCCTGCCTCTCTCTGCCCCTCTCCCTCCTCAAATTCAGGCCCTAGGGATGTCTGAAGTCCGAACCAGAGGCTTTCCCCCTCCCTTTTTTCCCTCCCAGCCTTATTAGTCCTGCCTGAAGTCCCTGCTGCTTCATTGGCTGCTAGGGAAGGTTAGGGAAAAGGCATGTGTGCCTTGGCTCTCTGAGGAGAGAGCATTTACATTCATCAGCATAAAAGTTTGGCCCTTAAGCAGCCCGGGAATTAACCACTGGAGCTCTGATATAGAGAGATGATTCTCTCCTTCCCTGCCACGTCAGGCCAGCAGGACAGAGAGGGAGCTTTGCCTCCCTGAGGAAGTGGCAGGGATCCAAGGATGGAAGGGGAACTGCTGCTGGCATCTTGCCCCCTCCCTGACGTAGCTGGTGGCCAGGCACAGGGTGGCAGGAAAGGCCCAAATAAAGCCTCTGAGAGGGTGGCCCCTCCCAGTACATCCCACAGGCATGATGTAGCTGCTAATTCTGGGCCTGCCCCTCAGGGCCGCCTGCCACCCGCCAGCCACAGGCACCTGTCAGGCTATATTAAGAGACACTGTCACAGCTGAGGACTCTCCTTCCTAAGAGGAACTGCCCTTCCTGCCCAACAGCATCTACCTTTCTTCCACATTCTCCTCCTCCCTCTCCCCACTCTAGCCACAAAATTAGATAGTCTGATGATATGTGCATACCTGCTACAGAGTAGATAGGTGCTCAAAAGAATGTTCTTTTCCTCTCCTCCTTGCTTTGTATCCCATGCCCCTATCCTCTGCACACCCCAGTCCTCCCAAACCCCTCTTCTTATTCTCCATGCACTAATTCCTTCAGGTCTTCCCTGCTCACCTACTAGACTTGCCAACTCCCAGATTCACAGGCATCTGCTAGAATCTTTGGTATTCTCTCAGCTAAGAAATTTGTCTCTCTGGGATGGAGGGGTGGGAACAGTAGGGCTGGGAAGAGGGAAGCAGTGCAGATACCATGCCCCCATGTGACCTGTCTAGGAATTGCACTCTTTTCTCCACTTGGCCTCACCTTTGTTAGCTGGAGAGCTACCCAGAAACTTCATCCCTCCTGCATGACCAAGCCCAAGTGAAGGACAAAGTTCAGCCTCTAAACCCAGACACTGGGTCCTAATGTCAATCTACATCCCAGGAGGTCTCCTAAGAATACAGCACAACCTTAAGGAGAAACCCAGGGCCTGGGGAAGGACAAGCGGCCTTGAAAATGTGGGTTATATTTCTGTCTGCCCTGCCCCTTCCCCAACAGCCAGCCAGAAGACTTGTGCACACAGACTTTGTGCACAACCCTGGCTAGGGACAAGTTGCTCCCAGCATGAAAAAGGGGGTGGTGGTGACACAACAGGAGTCCCTACAGAGAAATTACCCCCTCCTGTTGTTATCAGTCCAATATCCCTCTCTCACTGAGCTCTGCCAGGCTTCTTAAACTCACCTGGTAATCAGACCCTCAAGAAAAGAAAAGAACAGATCCTGAGTCTTAGGGGAGGGATGAAGAGGCAGCTGCCACAAGTCTCTGAACTGCCTGCCACTTGGCCTTTCTAATGAAACCCAAATCTGTTCTTGCAGTCCCAGGAAATAAGAAGCTAATTTAATTTAGGCTTAGACATCCACAGCCAATTGAAATTCTAGATAAAAAGCCTCAAAGAAAAGGGCCCCTTCCCCTAGCCTGGGCCCCACCCCAGAGTCTATATATTCTAGAGAATTTCTCAGTGTTAACCGCTTCCCTCTAACTCCTCCCCACACCCCCTAACACCACCACTACCATCTCCCCATGAAGGTTGCCTCCCACAATCTGAGCTCCTTAGACAGGACCTGGCTCCAGAGAGAGCAGCTACGGCCATTACCTGCAGTGGGCCTGCTCGTTCATGCATTTTGGTTGCTTTGACATTAGGTACAGGGTATAGGACTTGGTGTTAAGTCCAAGAAGCTCTGTTCCCATTGTGTTCTATGTCTGTCCGGTGTGTGAATGGCACCCCTGGAGTTGTACAATAGTGTGAGCTCTGAGTGTGGAAACAAAGCTCTTAAAAACTTTAATGAAATAGCTCCTCATCTCCAAGCTAATGAGCTTTCCTGCTTTTTGGGTCCCTCTTGATTTCCCATTTGGATAGGAGTCAGAAAAAAAAAAGGGAACTATGGGTAGAAGCAGAATGAAAGCAGGCTTTCTCCTGGACTGTATCCCCACCTTATTTGGGACAGGTCACTTACTGGCTTCCTGTGTAGTCAAATCCTATCTGATTTTCCCTTGCTCTGTGTGTCTTTAGAGATAAACAAAGATTTGGGAGTCAAGTATGACTGTAGTGTGATCCGAAGCCGGCCACTCGAGGCTTTGTGAGACATCTTTGAGTCATGGGTACATGGAAGAGACTACAGGACTACAAGTCCTGTTCTCCAAGTCTTCTACTTAGCTTTTCTATCTATTGTAACTCAGCCTCTTGAACCTCATGATGTGCTTTATTATTAAACATATAATTAAGAATAAAAATTAATCTTGTCAGAGGTTTTCTTACTCTATTAGGCTAGTCCTCTCTGTGGAAGAGAGGTGGCTTCTTTCTCTAGGCCCATGAACTGGGGGCTAGAGGGCAGGGGGTGGAGATTGGAGTGGGGCCGGGACCAGCCACACTATCCCTAACTTCTCCTCCCTCCAGGCCTGAAGACCGGCGGTGGTTCATCAGGTGGCTCCAGTGGCTCCTTTCACTACACCTTTCACGGGGACCCTCACGCCACCTTTGCCTCCTTCTTTGGTGGCTCCAACCCCTTCGATATCTTCTTTGCCAGCAGCCGTTCCACTAGACCCTTCAGTGGCTTTGACCCAGATGACATGGATGTGGATGAAGATGAGGATCCATTTGGCGCCTTTGGCCGCTTTGGCTTCAATGGGCTGAGTAGGGGCCCAAGGCGGGCCCCCGAACCACTATACCCTCGGCGCAAGGTGCAGGACCCACCTGTGGTACATGAGCTGCGGGTGTCCCTGGAGGAGATCTACCACGGCTCCACCAAGCGCATGAAGATCACAAGGCGGCGCCTCAACCCTGATGGGCGAACTGTGCGTACCGAGGACAAGATCCTGCACATTGTCATCAAGCGTGGCTGGAAGGAAGGCACCAAGATCACCTTCCCCAAAGAAGGTGATGCCACACCTGACAACATCCCTGCTGACATCGTCTTTGTGCTCAAAGACAAGCCCCACGCACACTTCCGTCGAGATGGCACCAATGTGCTCTACAGTGCCCTGATCAGCCTCAAGGAGGTAGGGCCTGGGTCAGGTTGTGTGTGTATGTGTTGGGGGCAGGGGAGAATAATGGGGACATTCTTTCCTCACTCCAATCTTTTCCTCCCTTCCCACTCAACCCCCCATTTTCCTCACTCTCTACCTCATTTTCCCCAGGCGCTGTGTGGCTGCACTGTGAACATTCCCACTATTGATGGCCGGGTGATCCCATTACCCTGCAATGACGTCATCAAGCCAGGCACCGTGAAGAGACTCCGTGGGGAGGGCCTTCCTTTCCCCAAGGTGCCCACCCAGCGAGGAGACCTCATTGTCGAGTTCAAAGTTCGCTTCCCGGACAGATTAACACCACAGACACGACAGATCCTTAAGCAGCACCTACCCTGTTCCTAGGCTCTGCCCCAGCCAGCCCAGAGTCTACCACAGCAATACCCCCTACACTCACCCACCCAATGTGCACCCAGCTTGATGTCCACTGGACACTGGCAACTTTTTCTAAAATGCAAAA